TTGTAAAGGACCAAACAGTAAATATTTTACTCAATTCTGACTTTGAACATGAAAGTAGCCATAGAAATTATGTAAAATAAAAAGTGTGGAAATGTTAAAAAAAAAAAAGGTTTATTTATAGTTAACTAAATTTTGAATTCCATATCATTTTTATATATCATGAATTATTCTTCTTTTTTTCATCTTTTTCCCAACCACTTAAAAATGTAAAAGCACTCTTAATTCAGGGGCCATACAAAAACTGGCAGCAGAGTGGATTTCACCAAGGACAGAAACTTGCTTCATTTCGTGTACTGGTGTGAATATGTTAATGAGAAAATTAGTAGAGCTCCTTTATTTCATAAAAGCAAGTAACAAAAAGAATACTTTAAAAAAATAACTCTGAGAACTATGCTTTTGCTTCTCTTTTGTGCTACAAATTCTTGTTGCCATTCTTATTTAGGTTGAGTTTTAATCTTAATTCATGTCAATACTCTCAAAAAATGTAAATATTGTATTCCAGCACATGGAACATCTCTCAAACTCCTATTTTTCTCATCGAAGAATATTTCTCCGGTTGTGTTATCGTTCCTTCAATATGGGAGTCAATCTTCTCTGGTATTTGACATTTCACTTTCATTCATCCCTCATACTCAGAATCTTTTCAGGCAAACTAATTGCAGGCACTATTGTAATTACCCACAGGGGCCCAATACTGTTTAAAATTACACAGGAGTCACCATTTTCTTTGGGGAAAATAAAAAACTTCATTTGAATTAAATTTAATTAATATATATATAATGTCATAAAGTCTACTAATATATAAATTTAGGTTGATTTATTAATCTGTTCTCCTTGATGTTTAGAACTTCATTCCTCACCTTTATTCTCTGAGGTCACACCCTTGTTTTTGCTCAGGTCTTGTGAATGTCTTCAAGCACCTAAAACTATTAGAATTGCCTGATGCATTTCTTGAAATGCACTTTGTACAATCTTTACCTGTCAGTGTCAAATTTTAAGCTACCTAGATGGCCTGTCTCAGAAGAAAAGGGCACCCTGATTCATATGGGCTTTGAGCACTTCCACATTGTCAATTGAACTTCACAACTGATGGCAAAAAAAAAAACACAAAAAAACATCAGCTTTTACTTTCTGTAATCATTCTCATGTAGAGCCATTGTTTCCTATTTATCTGCTACATCACCATTTACACCACTGCCACATCCAAAATTCAGAACTTCCTTTAATCTGCTTGTAGACAAGTTTCTAAAACTATTTCCCCCAAGAATCTAGGAAGTGGGATATCACTACTACCTAGCAGGTGTTGGCACAAATTTTAAGACATGAAGATTCCTCACTTTCTTATTCTCTTTTTGCATATTTTCTACCTTTATCCATATCTCCCTCCTTTTCATTCTTAAACTCAATCTGAAAAACCACAGTAATATACCTGATTTCCCAATAATCCAGTCCTGACTTGTTTCTAAAGACCTTTCCCAGAGGAAAGTCCACTGCATCCTCTTATTTACCTCAACTTAGGTAACAAAGGATTTATTGAAAGGAACTTCCCTATCTAAATTTCTAATTAACATTAGATGTAGCACAAACTACTTTTTTAATGTGTATATTAAAAATACAAAAATAAAATAAGTCTCCTGGGATAGTGGATTCAATTATGTCCCCCCAACCTCACTGAAGCTTGAATTGTGTCCACTAAGTTTTATGTATTAGAAACTTCATCCTTATTGTGGCTGTTCAGAGGGTGGGAAATCCTTTTAGGGTAATAGAAAGGTGGAGCCTTGAAGAGGTGATTGGATTGTAGGACCATGCAGTAGTGAATGAATTAAAGATGGTGGTCAGGGGCACGGTTCTGAGTGCTTCAAAAGAAGAGAGAGTTTGTCTCTCTGTCTGTTCTCTCTACTTCCACCATCTTTCACTGTGAGACACCTGGGTCACTGTCGGCACCACCAGATGGACTTCAGACTTCCCAGCTTCAGAAACAATAAGCAATAAGTTTTGTTTTCTTTATAAATCACCCAGTTCCAGGTATTCTGTTATAAGCAATAGAAACGGACTAATACATCTGGTGTAACTGGAGACTTTTGGATCCAGGAACATGTGAACCATCATCACGTGCCCAAATTATCAATAGGTCATAACGAAAATACCCATTATAATTTCAAACAGCTAAAAATCTTTGTAAAGCTGGGTGACTATGGTCGATAGTTAAGATATGTATATCACATAATAGCTAGAGGAGCAGCTTTTGAATGTTTTCCCCACAAAAATGATAAATGCATGAGGTGATTGATACATTAACTACCCTAACCCAATTATTATACAATATGTGCATATCAAAACATCAGATTGTGCTCCATAAGTATGTATAAGTACAACATGTCAATTAAAATTAAATTAAGATTTATAATTTTGAGAAAATGGTAAATCTACTTTCCTGTTATATTTTGACATTATTTATTAATGTAAATTTTATTTAAATGAGAGATTACCAAAAAATTCTAAGTTTTTTAAGTGGAAATGATTAATATTATGAAATCCTTCTTTACAGTCATCATTATCACTTTTTTCAAAAAAATGAGAATAATCATAGCTTATAATTAATACTTAGTACCTTCTAAAATTTTTTAAAGTAGCCATCAACCATAATGATGGGAATACTTGAAATGTCTTTTCTCTCAGCCAAAATCTCTCTCTAGATAACTTCAATGAGTGAAGTGATAAGAATGTCGAATTCTCAGCAAAACTATTACCAAAAATTATCATTAATTGAATAATGCAGTGATACCTTAACAAATCATCTTATAACAAAGGAACCCTCTTAAAGTCAGAACAAAGAAGAATTTTAAAAAGCTCTTTCTTCTCAGTTCCTTGGCTGATCACAATGTGCCATTCACTGACATTCTTTCAGGGAGAAGTTTTTCAGTAGTTGATCTGGTTGGTTTTCCCTGGGGTAATAATACTTCAGAAAATGATACAAGGGATTGGTACGTGTCTTTGTTTATAGAGTCATTATTATAAGAAAAATTCCTCTTTGCATATTACTCAAAATTCTATGTAAATAGTAATAGTGCCTTTTATATAGGACATGCTCCAAAGGCTACCCTAAATTCAGATGTATTATATTCAGAAAATGATGTAATGATTATGTCAAATAAGAATCGTGCAGCTTGAAGTATCTTTAACTCAGCTTAAAAATTAATAATCTATTCTCGTTTTTAATTT